CCGTCCGTTAATTTGCAATTGGTGGACGGCAAGTAGTTAAAGAATAAATATGCTTTTAAACAAAGTGCACTTATCTTTTTTGCATTTAAAAATATATTTAGAGCCATTCTGTTCTGTGCACATTGCAGGGTGTGTTCATGCACGAATTAATGCATGAAAACATACATTGAAACAATATGTGTTGTATGTACTAATGGGACCCCAACATGCATACTTGAACAAAACAAACGCACACCTGACCCCCAGTACACTACAGAACGTGCAGAAAAAAACCTCCAGCTCTGCCCTGTGACACACTGGGAAAAAAGTCAGCTATTTTTTCAGTCTGTGGGCATGTGTTGAGGGCCCATAGCAAATGAATAGATAAATGGACCCCTGCAACGCAATGTGTGTGATCCCTGCAAAAAATATGTGAATGTGCCCAAGACTGCACATAAAACAGTGTGAATGGCTGGTAATTATTTTTAATAAATATATAACTGCACTAACCGGTGATTTCTATAGCTGCCTGGAGTTCAGTTTTAAACTAAAAACCTATTGTTCTTGTGGAAAATATCTAAACATAACATAATGTACAAATGTCACTGAACCGTTTAAGGAAATACCATTGAACTAGGAGGAACTCATCTCACTGATAGTATAATTGGATTATGTTCACTGACATTAACAGATAGCCTTCACTTTATAGTCAACTAAGTGCACAAGAACATTGAAACAGTTTTACCTATTCTTGGAAAGTAATTTAGTACACACATATGATACCATGAAAATGTTTTATCCAGGTTTATCTCTCTCTCTCTGTCTCTCTCAGGAAGCTGGCCAATCAGGAAGCCAGGTGACGACCTCGACCTCCCCACTTGAGGAAACCAACCCCACTTTCCCCATCCCGGCTAGGAACCTTCCTACTATACCTCCCTTCCCCCCCCCCTTCCACACCACACACCTGCCTCCACTCCTTACCCCTGACATCTTTCGCGTCTATTATGGCGACTCTTAAAGTTCTCTCCCTCAATGTGAAGTGGATGAACGTTCTGGAAAAAAGGAGGATGATCATGCATGAGCTCCACCGCCAATGAGCGGGAGTGGCGTTCCTTCAGGAGACACATCTCCATGTAGAACACATCCCACGGATAGAAACTAGAAGGTTTCCCCACGTCTATCATAGCGGATCCCCTGATAAACGTTCCAGGGGAGTGAGTATAATTCTCTCAAAGGATGTACCCTGGTCACCCATAGACCAGCAGTCGGGGGAGGAGGGCAGGGTCTTATTCCTGAAAGGGACCATTGATTCACATGTGGTGACATTTGCCAACATTTATGTCCCCAACCAACGTCAACTTACATTTTTGGAACGGGTCCTGGACCGCCTGTCGGAGTTCAGGGAGGGCACCCTAATTCTCGGAGGGGATTTTAACCTCGTCCTGGACCCGGGTCTGGATTCATCAAGGTCTTCCTCCCATCTCTCTTTCGCTACACTCAGACGCCTCAAACGCTGTCTTTTCTCCCACCAACTCCTAGACGTCTGGCGAATACAACACCCCTCCGGTAGGGACTACACTTTCTTCTCCCCTCTACATCAGAGCTACACACGCATAGACCTATTCTTAGTCCATCACAGCCAATTACCCAAAGTAGTCCGCACTGACATTGGAAACATTGCTCTCTCCGACCACGCTCCTATCTCTCTCCTCCTGGATCTGGGATCTCACCCCCCTGGCCCTTGGCAGTGGAGACTAAATGACTCCCTTCTCCAGGAGCCTGGGTTTGCAGACTCCCTTGAGAGGGACCTCAGACTGTTCTTCAACGAAAACGCCACACCGGATGTACCCCCTTACACTGTTTGGGAGGCTCACAAGGCTACGGCCAGGGGATTGCTCATAGCCCAGGGCTCCAGAGTCAGGAAACAGAGACTGCGGGAAATGGACGACCTCCTTGCTCAAATACACGCATTGGAAACACAACACAAGCGCAGCGTCGACCTACATGTAGGTGCCCAACTTCACCAAGCAAGGGAAAAATTGCGTACACTGTGCATCACAAAAGCTAAATCGGCGCTACTCAAATGCCGACGTACCTTCTATGAGTACGGCAATCAATGCGGCAAGTATCTGGCCAGAGCGGTGCGTACGCAGCACACTCGGACATTTGTCTCCTCCATAACCTCACACACGGGAACCAAAACGTCGCACCCGACGGACATAGCGGCGGCCTTTACCGGGTATTACCAGAGCCTATACAACCTCACTGACACCGCTTCGACCCAGAACCCTCAAGCCCACCAGGATAACATTACACAATACATTCTAAGTTCTGGCCTGCCCTCTCTTACTCCGGATGCCAGCTCACTGATGGAATTACCCATTACGGCAGCTGAGCTGGACTTAGCCATCAATCTTACCCAAACCGGTAAAGCCCCGGGCCCAGATGGGTATCCCCTGTCGTACTATAAGCGCTACCTACCAATCCTGTCGGCTCCTTTCCTTCAGGCCCTTAACTCAATCTTGGATGCCCGTAACCCCCCCTCGAATCCCTTAAAGCTCACATAACAGTCATACCCAAGGAGGGCAAGGACCCCTCGCTATGTCCCAGCTACCGACCGATCTCCCTGCTCAACGTGGACACTAAACTTTTCGCCAAAATCCTCTATCTCCGTTTGGTACCCCATCTGGGCAATCTCATACACCCGGACCAGACCGGCTTCATCCCCTCCAGGGAGGCAAGGGACAACACCACCAGGGCGCTGGGGGTGCTCCACTCCACCCGATCGACCGCCACTCCATGCATACTGCTGTCGACAGATGCGGAGAAGGCGTTCGACCGGGTGGACTGGAGGTTCCTTTAAACACCTCTTTTGAATGAATCGGTATTGACGAGTTCAGCTATCTGACGAGGATTGTCCGCAGTGAGTATATCTGCTTATACAGGCCAGGCATAGAGGTCTCAGCAAGGGATATATTTCGCTATCACAACGATCGGAGTCAGAATAGGCGGACAGCAAGAGGTTAAAGAAAAGATGGCAACCCTAATCAGCTAACCTCCCAGTGACATGGGGCTAGCATAAGGCTGCATAGGCAGCCGCCTGAGGGCACCAGGGGGGGCTTTTTTCATGATGGGTGTAGGTGGGGGCCTCACGTTTGAGTTTCGCCTAAGGCCTCACAAAGTCTAGAGCCGCCTCTGCTGTCGCGTATCCGGTCTGACCTAGAATTATGGACCAAAAACACTTTTTCGTGGATGGGCCGTTGCAATATTCTGAAACAGTCCATCCTCCCGCGCCTGCTATACCCACTCCAAGCCCTGCCAATCCAAATCCCTACGTCCTTCTTCCGCAATATCCGCTCCCTCTTCACGGACTTTGTTTGGAGGTCAAGGCCGCCCAGACTGAGCTATTACATTCTGCGGAGACCCAAACAGTCGGGAGGGATGTCCCTGCCAGATGTGCGACTGTACTATGTTGCAGCACATCTGGCACGGATAATTGATTGGTGCTGCAATACCACTTCCAAACAATGGGTTCTTATGGAACAGTCCTTTACGGAAGTCCCATTGGCCAATCTCCCGTGGAGCTCATTTCCTCTCCCACCCAGACTGCGAGACCATCCCACTATAGGCCCGACATTAAAACTAGCACGACTCACTTTTGACAAGGGTCTCATCTCCTCCTCCCCTTCTACCCGTCCTAGATAACCCTTCCTTTCCCCCGGGCATAGGCGCCCAATCTTACCGCCCCCTGAGAGAGAGGGGAATTCTCAACGCGCATCATCTTTTGACAGCCCAGCAGTGGCCCTCAGCGGAGGACCTTCGTACTCACCAAACGTATGGCCCGCTTGATTTCTGGTCCTCCATGCGCCTTTCTCACTTCTTGACTACATGCCTCCCACCCAGCTTCCTTAATGGGACTTCCGGTATCGGTATTGACATGTACCAAAAAAAAAAATATCGGTACTCATACTTGATACTGAAAACCGGTATCGGAGCATTCCTAGTTTTAACCCTCCTCCTCTCCTGCTTATGGTAATATATTATTTTAACATATTGTATTTTAACCACTTCACATCCCTTATCTGTACATTTACCCCTTCATTTCTGTATGTGATCTGTACAATAACCCCTTCACCCCCTCCTCCCTATGACCTGTACATTTATAAATCTAGTATGCAATCATCAAGCTCCACGTTTTAACCCCCTCAATACCGACATGTTTCCTTATTTCCAAACAATTTCGGCAAAAATCTGATCACCTTGGAGTTACTATTTTCCAAAAAGTGTCATTTTGGGGGTTTTTGTACTTTCCTGACATTTTTATTTGGTATGTTTTTATAACAGAGTCAGGGAAACTGTTGTTTTTTTATTTCTTGTTTTTTGTTTTCTTTATATAGCAAAGGATTTTTAAAAAAAAAGTGTTTATTAAATATCACCCAAAGCAAGATCTATCTGTCCCAGAAAAAATAATTTGGCAAGTGTTGCGTGACGGAGTAATTCTCGGTAAAACTATTAGAGCAGCACTGAATACTGAGGGGGGTTAAACATGCCTGTACTGAAGTGGTTAACCTAGCACCCGTGTGTTCTCATATGATTTGTGTTTCAGTAGAATTTGTTTGTAAATACATGTGAGAGAGGAAGAGCCGAAATCATAGAACGTTTTCCTCTACAGAACGTGTCTCCTTATTTCAGTTGGACAAGTGGACTATATCCACTGAGGGAGGCTTTTCTTCCAATTGTAACCAACGTTCCCTTTGTCATATTCCACTTCTAATGTCTGATACCTTCCTGTGACTTCTCTCACATACATGTGGCAAAGGAAATCGCAGTATAAGTTTTTTTTTGTTTCAAAAAACTTTACTCAGTGTCGAGAATGAACAATGTATAACTCAGGAGTTCACTCTGGCAGACAGTGGCAGTGCTTTGTGTGCTTTGGTCACCAGGGGAACAGGGCGGGCCGTTGTCATGGAGACAGCCAAGGCGTTCTTTTACAGTGATTAGAAGTTCCTCTAGTTAGGACGGGAGTGAGGTGGGACTTCTCTCCTCACGTTGTTTGTATTGCTGGCTGTTTGGTGGTCTTTGTACACACACAGTATGTGAGGTGTGCGGGTGACAAGCTTAGTGTCGGCTGTACGAGTGTCACAGCATGAGAGCCACATAAAGAGGAGTGCAACATGTCAGTGATTGAGTTCCCTTCACCCCCTGTGGGGCCCAAGTCCACAGGAAGGAGAGTGGTCACCACTGGTACCCTTCTAGCAATCGGAGAACACAGTTCTGGTAAGGAGAGCTGCTTCCACTGTCACCATAGCCCCCATTCATACTTGAGCGGGAGCGTTGTCAGGCGGTTTTTGTGCGTTTCGGTTTTAGCCAATAGAAAGCTAGTTACTAGGCGGAAGAGATGGTTATTACATGTGACATTGTGCCAAAAATGTGTGTTATGCTTGTATTTCATGCGCCCCAGTGAAATGTATAGGGCCACAAACGTGCGATTCTGCCTGAAAAAAGCTCATGTATATAGTGGGATTCTTTATGATGAGCGCTATGACACTTCAGGAAACATGTGGCACAACGCTCAAGTGTGAATGGCGGCTAATATTATATTATAGTACATTTTATTTTTCTGCTTATTTGCCTAATTTAGTTTACTAAAAATCAATTTTTTAAAGGACCTGTTATAATAAGAATAGGGGGCCTTATTCACATGAGCAAAAATACAGGAATATGGGCATACAGCGTAACATGTCCCCGTATTTGTGGCATCCGGGAGCCCGAGCTGCAGCTGCTTTCTGTTCATAGGTATATATGGACAGAGAACGCTGTACATGTGTATACACGTGTTAAAGAAGAACTATGGGGTTAGGGCTTTTCCCCATAGTTCTCCTAAGGGTAACGGGAGAACACAAACTAGCGTCCTTCCGTCACCCAAAGCTCAGTATACCGCGAGCTACAGCTGCAGCTGAAACGGATCCCGACAATTATGTCTGGATCCACCCAGCTGCGTGAGTGACAGCTGGCTCTGCCTATCTAGAGGCAGAGCCAGCTGTACCCTCCCCCGTCCGTTCCGCCAGTCAGCGCTGGAGGATCGGACAGGGGAGGGGGGAATCCAGGCACTCCCCTGTCACGGCTCTCTGCAGTGACGGGATCGAGAGGTGAGCGAGCGCCGGTATGTGTTCGCTCACTTCCCGAAAAATCACTCACCTCATAGTTCTCCTTTAACACAAAGGGTAGTTGTTTTCTACATTTAGCCCTGCTTTGGGCAAGCAGATCTAAATGTACAGCGAGGAAGCCACCGCTTGTTTTGTACAAGTGATCTCGGTGGTGTACCCAAGGGAACTAACGATAGCGCATGCGCAAGTCAATGTTGTAGACAGCATGGTGTGTGGAGTAACACAGCGGGGAATGCATAGTAGACGCAGGGGCGTCCCAAGGCCGAGTGACACCCCACTGCAACGTCATCGCCCATGTGGGTGACATCATCGCGCCCGTGCGACATCATAACACACACACACGTGATGACGTCACATGCTGTTACCAGTCGGCGGCCATCTTGGTGGTGGACGCTGGCAGAGAGAGCAGAAAACGTTCCCCCAGGGGTGGCAATGAACGGTGAGGGGGCGGGTACAGCTGGCTCTGCCTCTAGATAGGCAGAGTCTGCTGTCAGTCAACCAGCTGGGCAGATCCCGGCAGTAATGTCGGGATCCGCCCCGGCTGTGGCGGTCTCAGTATAACGCTCGCTATAGCTCGCGATATATGGAGCTTTGGGTCACGGGAGGAGGTTAGTATACATCCTCCTGTGACCCTTAAGAGAACTATGGGGAAAAACACTTACCCCATAGTTCTGTTTTAAATCCTAAAAAGTACCTACTAACTATAAACAACAATGTATCTTATTTGTGTATCACTCAGCTGTAGATCCTCAAATCATCTCTGAATTGGTGCCGACACTGTCCTTCCTTCTGGGAGGTGGCTAATTTTTTCCTCCATGGTCCCTGGTTGTATTGTAAATTAGCCACCGCTCCAAGCTTGCTCCTGTGATGGACTACAATGCAAAAACAACTTAGTAAACTAAACATGAGATTGTAGTCTATTACAGGAGTGAACCTACAAAAGTCTGACAGCCACAGGCTCAGAGGCATGATGGGAGTTGTAGTTTCCCCACCGCTGGAGTGCCAAAGTTGCCTACCTCTGTTGTAGCGTTTTCCTATTTCTATGTACTCAAAACAGGTAATAATGTTTTGTACTGTTTTAGAGATGTTTAGGGCTCATGCACATGGGAGTAAATAAAGGCGTATTCGCATACAGCATAAAATGCACCTGTAGTTGCTGCATCCAGGAGCCCCATCTGTTGTGTTGTCCTGTCCATAGGAGTGTATGAATAGAAAACACTGTGTCTGTGTGCATGTGTATATATACAGTACGTGTGTGTGTGTGTGTGTGTGTGTGTGTGTGTGTATATGTATGTATATATATATATATATATACACACACATGTAAACACCACTACCGCCATGCACGTGCGCCCACATGAGTGTAAGTTCCTGAACGTGAAAGTTTCGCAACCAGGAATGTATTTGTGTGCACGTGTAAACGTCGGTACCTGAGTTTACGCATGTGCACACTCGCATACTGATTTTTCTGCCTGTACATTGCTAGAAACAAAAAATGCAGCAGCCAGGGACCCCGAGTGCAGCAAATATGGCGTATTTCATGCTGTATTTATGCCTAAGTGAATGAGTCCTTATAGGATATTTCTTTGCACACAAGCTAGCACTTATACTCCAGCAAAATCTAGTGATATATATTTGTTTCTGCTGCAGACTTGCTGCCTGTCCAGGAAAGGAATGATAGTTTGGAGCTATCCCAACAACTTTCTACACTTGAACAGAATGACTTTATCCCGGATGAACTCCTTCATGTGCTCACTTCCACTGCTAAAATAGCTGTAAAGACCGAGCTGGATCCGGCCAAGAAAAATAAACTTATTAAAGATGGAAAGGTTTGTACAATGCGTCAGTGATTTAAAAAAAGTGATTTAAAAAAGTAAACCCGTTAGATTTTAAACTGAGGCTGTGATGACGAAATGCATAAGCAGAGGTTACCATCAGAGAAGACTGCATGTCAAAAAGATGATTTGATTCAGGCAGCGGCAGATAAAGTTTTATGCAAATCTTATGTAAAAGAAGATCTCCAGGCAGTAGAAAATGTAAGCCTTGCAGCGGGGCTACTCCCGTGGTGCAAGGGTGATAGTCTTAAATAACAAAGAAATACCCAAACCTTGGAGCCTGCTGGCTGCTAGGACAGTCCCTGCAACCTCTCTCCCCCTTCACTCCTGTGATAGAATGTCCCTCAGCAACACACAGGACATAAGATTAATAGCAATTACACTTGGGCCTCCTGACCTCACAGCCTCAAGAGCAGCTGCCTCAACTGCACCCTTTGTAAGCTGGCCATACACCGGTAGATTTCCATACGAACATTCATACGAAATGTCTCTTTAGAACATTCGATAATACCATCATAGACATGACAAATGTCGTACGAAATGTTGTTTGATTTTAACATCCGAGTTTGGAAATTAATGGGGTTCCCACAATAAAAAAAAACACATTTGTCAGAATTTCGTTCATTCGAAAATGTTTCATCCCAGTACGATTTTTTTTCCATCACTGCATTCGAAATTGATTGTCGATTTGACCCCATTAGCTATTAGAAAATCGAATGAACTTTTCAAAAACGGATTTTTTTTCGTATGAAATTCTAACCTTGTATACCCAGCTTTATATTAGATGTGCTCTGGGCGTGATACATTAGCTTGTATTGCTGGGAGCGTGTTAAAAGTTTTTTTAGTGCAGAGCACCCAGCACCGAGAGTAATGCCATATTCTATACCCCCTCCCCCACACAAACCCATCAAGTAAGGTCTCTGGTCACATCTGCATGCTGCTTATTAAATACATTAATATGTCTATGACCCACATAAAGTGAATGTAAAAGTACAGTATGCAGATGTGCACCAGGCTTAACCCTATTGCTAGTCATCCCTGTATCACTAGCACTCATGCTTACTCCCTGTAACCTCAGACCCAAAATTTAAAGGAGAACTATGACATGAGTGCTTTTCACTCACCTCCTAGTTCTAAGCCGACCTGTGACAATGAGACTGTCACAGGTCGGCTCAGTAGATGGGGAGGTGAGCGAACACATACCGGCGTTCGCTCACCTCTCGATCCTGTCCTAAGGAGAACTATGGGGAAAAGCCTTAACCCCATAGTTCTCCTTTAAGCTGGCCATACACTGTTCAATTTTTTTCATTCAACCTGCAGGCTGAAGAAAAAAAAATAGAAGCGATTCCTTTGTCAACGATTAAAAGCGTTGATTGAGGAATTTCCCTGTCTTCATTGTATTCTGACAGCAGCCTCCAGCCGCTGTCAGAATACCCAAACAGAAGCAGAAGCTCATTGGCTGCCGACTCAGTTCGTATGAAGATTTTCCGACTGGCTCCTTCGGGCAGCTGATAGCAGGATCACCAGAGCTAGTTGGCGTTTTTTTCTATTTGTAGCATTGCCCTGCTTCCTCTGTACTTCAGGCACTGTGCTGCTACTGGTCTGTTCTTTAGTAGCTTTTGTCTATCTGATATGATGGGTAGATAAATTAGCATAATGTCTATTGCAATATTTTTGTAACATTTTTATTAACTTTAAGGTTGGCCTCCGCACTACTGACCAGATTTGGCATCATCCTCTTCGCAGGAGCAAGTTTAAACACCTGATTGACCATCCTGTCTGTTTGACAGGGGCTGGGAGGTAAGCTGTAGAACCAAACATAGACATTGTAGTAACTATTCCCTGTAGAGGCTCATGATTATATGTGTCCTGGGAATATTTTATATCTGCCCTTCATCTAAAAAAATTTCGGGGAAGCACAAGTCCACAGAAATTGTCAGCCCATCCTAATCTTCTCTAAGATTTTTTCAGGATCTACAGCCGAGTGATACACAAATAAGATACATTTTTTGTCAATAGTTAAGGTACTTGAAGGCAATTTAAAGATTTAACTGCTGAGTTTAGTGTCATTTTGAAGGAATGAGCTTGGAGTGGTTGCTGCTTTACAGCACACATCGGGACCAGGGTGGACAAAAGTAGCCACCCTCCAGAAGGAAGGACAGTGTCGGCACCAATTCAGAGATGATTTGAGGATCTACAACTGAGTGATCCACAAATAAGCTACATTTTTGTTCATAGGGTAATTTAATGTATTTTTTAGATTTATCTCCTGAGTTTAGCATCACTTTTTGCATTAGGGATGTTCAGATACCTGGTACTGTTCTTGGTACAAGTACAAGTACATGTACAGATCATTTTCCAGCTCCAGGACTAGACCAGAGAAAAATTAAAAAGTTAGGAGACAGCTGTTATTTTTAAGGAGCATCCTGGGATTTGTACATCTCTGTTTTAATGTATCTTCTTTTTAAATAAATATATATAAGTGATGCACTGATACCATTTTTCCAAGTACAAGTACTGATACTTGCCCAAGTACTCACAGATACAAGTACTGATACTTTTTTTTGTTTATTGTCATGTGACAGTTTTTCTAAAACAATACAGACCAATGATTTCAGGTCAGTGGTGGAGCGCTAGAGCCAGGTCCAAGGTGCAACCATTGCAACCCCGGTAGTTCTCATGAAAATGCCAAGTATCGGCACTGGTATCTGAACATCCCTAGTATGCATTGAGCTAGAATATCATAGTGTTGACTTGAGGATTATATGTCTTTGATCCTCAGCGAAGCACTTTTCCATTCAGATATAACCCGCAGGATTACATTCTTTCAGGCAGGTTTGCTGTTTATTTACCTCACCCCATAACACCCCTGGTGTTATTTAGACAGACTCAGTCCTCATCCTTCTATCTCCAGCCTAACCCCCCACGTTATAGAGGGGTTGTCGATCACCCTTCCTCTCCCTTTTCTTCTTTGAAGGGTTTAGCAGTAGTACTATTGTATATTTTTTCTCTTGGATCTTACTCATTCTGAAATCAGGGGTAAAGATATCAAATGAGCCTTAACAGCTCTCTATTTAAATTTCATATGGATATGCCTTGTCTGTCCAAGCTTCCTAGAGTCAAGAGTTAAGTATGTCAAGCTTAACAACATCCTACTGTTGTCCATCGTGTTTTTAACTAATGGACAGTTTTTCTTTTTCTTTCATTGACTATGGTGCTGTTTGATCCAGTTCTCCTGCTGCCATCAGGTATTGCTCAGTTGCACCTCTATTTTGTTGAACTGTTACTGATCTTGTGTTTCCTCTATTGAGTCCCATAGTTCTTAGATGCATTTTTTCCCTTGTGATGATTTCCTTCCAGGTCTGTAACACAGGTTCGGCCTCAGTCATGGCCTTTCTTTAGATCAGTCCTTCTCCATCCAGCCTTCCTTTCAGGCATTGTTTTTTCAATACTATGTGTAGTATGATTCAGCATTGTTGGATGATTCTGTGGCCATTGCTTGGCCCTCAGTAGGACTGCTTTTGGACGTCCCTTTGGTCTAAGATCATCTACTATTATTGTGTCAACAAAGAAAAAAGATTTTTGTACCTACTGTATAATCTTTTTCTTGAAGTCGATGGAGGGAAACAAACCTGGCCCCTTTGTATATTTGGCCCCGTATAGTGTTTGCTTACAAAACTGAGGCATGATGGTTGATGGCAGGGTCATATAGTGGGCTTGCTTAAAGTGACATTAAACCCTCAGATTTTTTAACATAAAACAATACTGTAATGTGTGCCCTACTGTAATCCATGGTTGTTTCCCTTCTCTTTGCTGCTCTTCCTTTTAAATCTGTATCTGTTCTCATGCTGGGCAGAACTTCTGTTTTGCAGCAGACTGCCTTGTCTCAGGAATGGATACACGGTGTCTGTGTGTACGTTTCTATAGGCTTGTAACCTGAGCCAGCACTACAGGAAGAGGCCTTGAGCTGAAAAGGGAAGTTCTCCCCAAGCATGAGAAGACATGAGGATTTAAAAGGAAGAGCAGCAAAGAGAAGGGAAACTACCATGGATTACAGTAAGGCACACATTACAGTATTGGTTTATGTTAAAAAATCTGAGGGCTTAATGTCACTTTAACTTTTTTTTTGTTTGCCATTGTCAAAACCTCCTGAAGGTGGCAGTGTAACCCATTGTCCCCTGTTGCAACTCTGACACCCTATAAAGGAGCAGTTTGAACTGCCAAAGGATATCTATTTCAGTCCATCCAGTTCTGATGCTTATACAGCTCTGCCATACATCACAACACTGCCCTGTCTGAAAAGAGAGGAGACCCTATTTTTATCTGCTGCAGTTCGGTTATACTTGCAGATCTCATCCTTCCCCCAGCCTGTGAGTGGATAGTGAAAGGAGAAGCAGCAGAATGATAGGCTTATCCTCAATCACTATGCTCTCTCCTCCTATCAGCATTCTCCTTGCATTGGAGTACAACTGGTTGGTTCCCTGTGCTGTTTCTTTCTACCGCAGTCAGTGTTCTGTTCTACAGAGACTGCAAGAAGCTGATATCAAGTCAAATTCAAGTACTTACACTGCTTGCATTTAGAAAATGCATTTCAGGATGTATTCATCCCATTCAGACTTGTGCTCTGCCAGTGCATTAGAATTAACAAAGAAATCGGACATGCACCATGCATAGTAATGATAATGCACAATAATGCGTTACCATGTGTTGTGGTGCACTGCAATGTACTGTATGTGAATTGGAATTGAATTGTCATACTGTGTGCGGGTGCCATTGAAAATGAATGGCACCACAACATGCTAATGCATGTATGGTGCGTTGCAGTGCATCAAGGTAATATGTTATCCCAAACACACTGCAACTGAAAGGTGTGAATGGGCCCTTATAGATTAAATAGCTGCATCAGGTTGTGTCTTTTCTGTCTGCCTGGAGTTCACTACAAATTACCATGTAGCCGGCAATACACTAACTGAATATTTGTATACATGGTAAGAGTATTGAAGGATAGGATGTGTGAGGAATCAACAACTTTTCTGCCAATCAGGACTTTAGAAATAATTTTGTCCGCTGTGTGTTGTCAGAGGAAAAAGTAATATTTAAGTGCACAATGTTACTACTATGACTCTTTGTTATATTCCAGGGATATTTCCTTCCTTTGTGATTCTGTGGCAATAGAAAAAAGAAATACACCAATATCAAGTCTTCAGCCAACAGACAGAGGGGATATGTCACCTCGGACAATGGTATGGTTCAGCTATTAACCTTAACGAGTTCTACATTTGTTTTTTTTAATGTACCCAAAATCATCCAGGGTTACCAGTAAATGCAGAATATTTGCTGCCCTAAACTATATTTCTACTTTTGCAGTTACATTTGGGAAAACCCCAATATATGTTTGATGTGTGTTCCCTTTCGCACAGCATACTTAAATATAATTCATAAGAAATATGTCTTACTTTTTAGATGTTTCTTTGGAGCAGGCCTTTGGGCAGACTGCAAGCTACTCCTCACAATTTCAAAGTGAGACTGGAGACAGACAGAGTTCCCTCTCATTAACATACAATGCAGAAGCCAAGCTTCTAATTTTTGATCCCCTTGTTAGGACAGACAGTGTTCCAACATAGTTTACAACTTATAATCAGATCTGCCAGCACAGTACAGATTCCAGTACAGACAGGAATATTTATAGTAAAGATAACTTCCCATAGCCTCCTATTTAACATTATATAGGGGGAAACTAGGTAGGACTTTTTAGCAAGTAAAAAGCACTTAAAATGGGAATATAATTTGTTTTAGGTTATGTAATGAGAATGGGAACATGCAACAAAGTAAACATACACTTTACAACAAGGTGCCATTCGCTATTCACACCCATTAAACCTATTAGGGTAATAGACCCACACCCCTGCTCACCCTGTGCAGCAAAACCTGACAATTCCTATATGTAACATTATCAAGACTAACAGGGTTATTCATAAAAGGGTGAAGAGTTAGGAGAAGGCAGGAGAAGTGACCAATCTAGGACAACATAACTGAACTTGAAAAACTCTCCAATTCAGCTCACTTTCCAGTTCAGCTCTGTTATCCTAGATTGGTCACTTCTGCCTTCTCCAAACTCTTCACCCGTTTGTGAATAACCCTGTAAAAGATTGACTTAGTATATGTTCTATCACCACGTTCCCTTAATATCTACCACCATCACCTACATTTTGACATTGATCATTATAGAGATAAAGCATGCGTACGCCACACTTTATACCCTACTTGTTCTTCCTGCTTTATACTCACTATAGTCTCTTTCAACCATGCTCTCCTGCTCACCACAAAATGTCAGTGAATTAAACATGCTGAATACCAGCATTCTACAGATATCATTCAGTATGTGCAAATGCAGTTGATTCCAATCTCTTATTTTTCTTAGGAAGGAAATATTGGAGAGAGTATTATACCAAAGGAGTTCTACGTGGTTAAGAACAAAGGTGTTTTGGGACTGGAGTATTATGAAGAGTGAGTAGACTTTGTTTTGATTGGATCTGACATTTCTGTAGAAACCTAAACAGTTCCTTCTGCTTGGTACCGGAAGCACTGTTTTCACTCATCTTTGGATAAGTGCCGAAAAGGTGAATCACCCACCAGCTCTGTGGCAGTCTGCCGGAGAGGACTTTGCAACTGAGTATAATGCAAGAAACCAGTATTTGGTTAAACCTACCAGTATGCAGTATATCAATAACTAAAATAACAGTATTAGGGGAACCTATGTTTTAAACTGGTTCTTGAGGAAATTTACACTTATCTCAGCGATTTAACTATCATGGAATTCTAATTACGAAGATTGGTCAGGTTGAAATAAATGTATTTGTTAGTACAGGTACTGTACATCCTTAGGTTTCCATTCAGTATTCAGTTACATATATGTGAAAACACAGCATGGCAGCACCTCCCATAACAACCAGTTTGTCACAGAATGACTGATCCCAGATAAGGCTACAAGCAGCTTTCAGCTCTTGTGTAGAAGAAATGTAACCTGCTAAGCAGTCTCCCTCTAAACTCTGTCTTGGGGAACATCTCCAGAAAACGTTTAAGAGCATGTGTGGTTTACTCCCCCAAGATCAAAACTTTTTTATTTCATTTTGAATAGACACTGTAATTTTGTTCTTTATCTGCATCTCTTCAGGGAGATTTCCCTGCGCTTCCTGTTCTTTAAATCCAACAAGAAAAGAGAGAATATCTTTCCAATGTAAGAGAAAATCCCTACTTTCGCAGTTGTCACAGGAACAACTGTTCCCTTTGGAAAATGTCCCCTCACTTTCATTCCGGCGTGACATTGGTGATCAGGACAAATAAAGAGAGTAAATATCCTGGACAGGGACACATACAGCAATACAAAACCTGACAGGGGTTCTGACCCCTCCCCACTCTATCTAAATCTAAAAAAGTTTTGCCTTTAGTTATACTTTAAGCTGTAATAACTAGACATATGCACCAGCAAAAAATTGGTTTTGTTTCGATTCGGATTTTGCGTTATTTTGTTTTTCGGGTCCGAAAGTCAATTTGTTTTTCGGATTCGGACGAAATTTGTTAGCAGTAGTCTGTACGAAATTTCGTTTTGTTTGTTTTGTTCCTTCGTCGCAGCAAAGTGACATTTAAGAGGGGAAAAACGTTTTTTTTTCTCAAATGTCACTTTGCTGCAACGAACTTTCGCACATGTCTAGTAATAACTATTACAGCGAGCCAATTGTCTATACTTAATTAGGTGTCATGGACAATAGCAATTATTTTCCTGTTGGTCAGACCCGCCTTGTTATGTAACACAGTAGATATGAACAAAAAATGAGTGATCGATACTTTAGTTGCAATCCCAATTGCTATGACAAACCATATCCTAAATCTGATTTGATTACACTACCATATAAAGGTCCACTGCAGTGCCTACACCGATAGATGTGTTAACATGATCTTTCTTTGTTCTTCTGATAGTAAGTACACAACCCTGCTTGAAGATGATGAGAAAAAGCTTCGTCTGTTTCCATCCATGTAAGTTTGGTCTTGACTGGCCAGATACAATGTGGAACTCATAATCTGGAACTATGATCAGCTACATTGGTTTATTTCTATGTATTTAGGAAGCCTAGTGGCAGAGGAGAGGTTCTCCAACTTATGAAAGTCATGGACAGCATGTTAAAAGATGCAGGGGTGGATGAAAAAGACATAAAATTGGAAGGTCCATCTCAGGTAATAATGTGATAGATGAAGTTATATATTAGCCTTGATCGGCCTAATGTGTTTATAAATTAGATTCACTTGACTAGACACTCATAAAAGAATAGAAGAAAAGAAAAGATTGACAATCAGGATAAAACCTACACATACATTTTCTGTACACATTAACAGTATCCTTTTTGGGATCAAATTCCCCATGCTATAGTCGCTAATGTCTATCCTCACACACATTACTTATGCATAGTCCACTATTTTCAGTATTAAAAAAATGATTGTGAGCAATAATGTACTGCCTATGCTGGAGTAAGTGCAGACAGAAAGAGGCGGGAGGAGATCAGCAGCAATGTGCAATAAAGGATCAAAGAAAGTGGAAACAGTATGTTATGGGGAACAAAAGCCATGGCAATTGTTTATGATACACAATTTTTGAGCAAACTAAAAGTCATTAAGTTATAGCATACAGCTATTTTGGAATTGAAGGAGAATTATGGGGAGAGTGAAATAAACTCATCCCCATAATTAGAGCCAAGGTGTGATACTGCAGCGGCCACACGTCGGCTCTATTGATCTTCTCCCTGCAGGGATTCCCCTCTCCATTCCTCCAGCGCTGACTGGAGGGATGGATGGGAAAGGGGGCAGGCACAGCTGGCTCTGCCTCAAGAGAAGCAGAGCCAGCTGCCAATCAGTTGGCTAGGTGGATACCGATAATATTGTCTGAAACTATCCCGGCTGCAGCACGGCTCTGCGCTTTCAGCATATAGCTGGTTTTGGGTCAAAGGAGGGCATAGTAAATGTCCTTCTGTGACCTTAAAGAGAACTATGGCCAAAAAAGGTTGGGTGATAGTTCTCTTTTAATTGTTTGACTTTAGCATAACTGCATTGTAGCTCACTTATTTGTTTACATCTTGCACAGAATTGCTTTTTAATACACAGGTATTATCGTGTTGATCTCATAATGAGATCTCTGTGGCTCAAATGTTGGTCTGCAGAACAGCACTTCTCACCTCTGTGAGCATCAAGGATGCTTACTTACATGTCTCATCTTTCCAGCACATCAATGCTATCTCCTTTTGGTGTAGGGACACATTACCAGGTTGTAGGCTTACCATTTAGCCTATTGTCCTCATTAGAGTGTTCTCCAAGGTTTTGGCTCTGTGCTAGCCTTACTATACTCCCAATGTAGAATACCTAGATGACTCTGACAGGCAATGTGATGTGCTAAGTCCAGACCTTAAAAATGTTTGGATGGATTTTGAACCTTCAAAAATCAGTCCTGGAACTGACACATTCTTCGGAGTATCTGGGCCAAGTCAGACATATGGCCCAAACCAGAGGTTTTTTTATTCCCCTAAAAAATCTTTGACGTCCACTCCCAGACTTAAACTCTACAATCCAGGAGCTGTCCATTTGTGCAATTCCGCATGAGAGTTCTGGGCCTGATGGTAGCCTCCTCGGAGGCAGTCCAAATTGCTAAATTCCACTCCAGGTCTCTACAATACAACAATTTTGTGTGTGTACATTTGCCATTTCCATATCACGGTGTTTCTTTATATGTGCCAATACAGATACATAATCTGTTGGAATTGCTAAAGGCTGAGCAGAATATCTACAACATTGTCTTTCATGAGCTGATCCGTCAGGTCAGTGTGGAGTGTGCAGAGAGAGGAGCACTATTGGCTAAGCTCAGGTCAGTACTAACCTGCAAATACATCATAAGTCATAATTACATCCTGTTGGGCCTGTTAGGCTCACCGTACACGTTACAATCTCTGTACAATCAGCTTTAGAACACCTCAGTAGACCACAATGTCATGGGACTTGTGGGCCTGAGGAGGCTTCAGACACATTTTCCCATTCCACTGACTTTTTTTTGTTTAATTTCATAGTGAACTCATGAAAAACGTATGCTGCATGCCATCATGTACACATGTTTAATACATGACATAATGGATTTTAATATCCCAAACAAGTGTAACTGGCAGTGTACAGTGTAGTAAACTCATAGTGCCTCTACCCAATGCGAGAAGTGAGTGAAGGTTGGGTAATGTGCCAACATTTGCTAATTTTTGTAAACCTGCTGGTATAAACCTATTTTTACTTTTGTAGACAACGATATGTAATGCTACTGGATAAGATCCCCCAGCAGGTGCTAAGTCTGTACAATGACCTCTTGGCTCAGCGAGCTCTGGACCGATGTCTCACGGAAGAGATCATTTATTTCAAGAACTCTATCGGAGAACTGACCAGGTAAGTTCTCAACATTATTGTTTGTAACTGATTCTACACAAGAGGATTCCATATTTCTTAAAACAAACCAGTAAGGAGAAGAATACGGAGGTCCCATTGCTGACTTCTTCTGAAAATGCTAGATGCTTTGCTGTCTCTGGCCTCAGTGCTTTATGAGCAATCATGCAGATAGTGTAGTCAAAGGAAAGTTGTAAATTGTGATTATTATTATTATTATTATTATACAGGATTTATAAAACGCCAACACTTTGCACGGCGCTTTACAAAATAAGGAAGACATTACAATCACAATACAATTCAAGACAAGATGGTAAGGAGGGCCCTGCCCGTGAGAGCTTACAATCTAAAAGGAAGGGGAAGTGATTCATGAGGAGGGAGCTGTGTGGGGATGAATTGTTTGAGAAAGTGATATTTCAGTGGTTAGGTTGAGGTCAAATAAGCTTCCCTGAAGAGATCTTGCATACTTGTTGCAGGTCAATGACTTTTGAAGTATTTGGATCAACATAGCAGAACTGGAAACTAGCATTATTAAAGGAAGAGTTTAATAACAACAGCCTATGCTTGTTTTAAGGATAGGTTTTCTATGAATGCCAATCGCTATAGTGTAACAGAATGTAATTAATTCACCAATATGATGGCAGACCGATGACTTATAAGAATTAAACCAAAAAATATAATTGTTAGTGAGGGAGCTTCCAACTCCTTAATGTGGAAAATTCTAATCAATAGTTGCTCCTCTTCTAACCATCCGTTGAGGGACACAGAAAGTCTTAAACATTTGGGTTGTACTGCTGCTTACAGGAGAAATGGACACTGCCAACAAAAAAACTGTTAACACCACAACCACTGCTCTCAGTATTACTTTGCTACAAAACAGCAGAATGCTGGCTGTGGGCAGGGTTATCCTCTGCTAGCTAACTTTTTTTGTTTCCAGAGTCGAATTCTCTTTTAGGTGGCAGTATAACCAGAAAGTTCTGTGAAAACTGTTGGCGCTTTATAAATCCTGAATAATAATAGTAATAATGCTCAGCATTTCCCATTATCCTTCTTTACATTTTTGCCCTATGTTACTTTTAGTAATTGCAGTGATTGTTTACCTACTGGTTAAAGGAAATGATCAGATTGATCAGCGTTGCACAGACTGTTTTTCACCTGTTTGTTGCATAAGCAACTAATCATGCTCCGCCACTAAAATGGGATATGATGCAGATGTATATTTCTTTAACGTATATATTTTTTTTAAATCGGCTGTATTGAAGAAATGAAAAATACAGCATAATAGTGTCCATGGCCACTCACGCACATTAAAAATCATAGTATGGTTAGTATTATGATATGTAGTGATAACAAAAGTAGTGTAGAAATATTTCCAGGAGTCAGCAGTCCATCTTGTAAGTGAACATATTAAACAAGCAAACATGTCTGTACGCATCAGCGATGAAAACTGTTTTAAGAGCAAAAACCTGTACGTGTTGGAGACGTGCCTGAAAGAAGAGCATAGTGCACTTCCTCAGCCATAGCATCTTAGCATAACATAGTAAAAGAAATAGAATCATAAAACAAACAACAAATAAAGATCGTCTCTCCAGACGTCTGACCTATGTATTTCTGTGTTGACAGACAATGCTCCAATTTTTTTCTTAATTACCTGTTGAGTATTACAGTGAGTATTACAATGTTGCTTCATAAAGAAGAATTATGCGGTGAGTGGAAAACACTCATCCCCATAATTCATGGCGACCTGTAACAAAGAAGCTGTCACAGGTCGGCTCTATTGATAGGGAAGTCAGCGAAAACACAGCACCGTCACTGACTCCTGATCCTTTCCTTGCAGAGAGTGGTGACTGTCAGTCAGCGCTCCCCACAGAGATCCCCCCCCCCTCCGACCCTTCAGCGCTGACTGGAGGAATGGACGGTGGAGGGGGCGGGCACAGCTGGCTCTGCCTCTCTATTCATCTAGCAGGGTAGATCTCAACAGCATTGTCGGGATCTGTCCTGGCTGCGGCGCTCTCAGCATATAGCGAGCAATAACCTGCTATATACTGAGTTTTGGGTCAACCAAGGACACTGTATATGTCCTCCCTTGACCCTGAGGAGAACTATGAGCAAAAAAGGTTGCCCCATAGTTCTCCTTTAGCCCCTTCGTGACTGACGACGTACAGTGTACGTCGCCAGCATCGGGGCTGTTTAAACAGACTGTTTAAACTTGTAAAGCCAACTGTCGGCTTTACAACAGAAGCGATTCTGGCGACTTACCTTTCGCCAGATTGCTTCTGTGTCCCATAGAAGGGGTCGCCGGACACCGCCGCCATGCTTCCCGGGCTCCGTTGCCCCTCCTACGGGCCCGGGACCGGCGATCTTTGTGTCCGCGGGGAGCTGGGGAGGAGGTCGACGAACTTCCGTTCATCGATCCCCTCCCCGTTCTATGGGACCGGGAGCGATGCAGATTGCATCACTTCCGGTCCCTGGGCTGTCAGTTCTGGGCTCCTGCAGCCCAGCTATAAGCTATTGAAGTGCGATCTGCACTTCAATAGCTTATTTCCAGTAGCTTATTATTATTTTGGACCCCCAGCATTACCTTAAAGAGTACCTGTCACCACTACTTGTAAGCCCCCCCATGTGATAGCAGTCAAAGTAAAAAAAAAAAAGTTTTTTCAATTAAAATAAAATAAATCTAATAATATAAAAAAAAATTTAAAGTCCCCCGCCCCCGTGAGCACGCGCGTCGCCACGTAAACACGCGTCGGGTGCGCCTACGCATGAAAACGACGAACGCGCTACACATGTTGGGTATCGCCGCGCACGCCGGAGTGAGAGCAATAATTCTAGGGCCAGTATTTTGGGGTATCTCTAAATTGATGACCTGTGGGGGCTTTTAAAGTGTCTTTTATTGATTTTTTGGGGTACTGCAGTTTTTGGCCGTTTCCCGGACGCACGCAATTTGTAACCTGGGCATGTTGGGTATTGTTTTACTCGTTGTAACCTCATCTTTTATTTGATTTTCTCTTTGATTTTAATTTGTTGTGTTTTGGGGCATTTAATTAAATT